CCATTGAGGGTGTTCAGTTCCATCCCGAGAGCATTCTCACCGCAGAAGGCCGAACTATGCTGCGAAACTTTTTGCAACTTCAAGGTGGCACTTGGGAAGAGAACAGCCGGCTCCAGAAGGGCTCCGCGACAAACGGCGCCGCTGCCAAGACGACATCATCTGCGCCGGCTGCAAGCAAGAAAAACAACATCTTGCAGCAAATTTACGCCCACCGAAAGGCTGCTGTTGCAGCTCAGAAACTCATTCCCTCGCAAAGGCCTGCAGATCTTCAAGCTGCGTATGATCTCAATGCCGCTCCGCCTCAAGTCTCCTTCATTGAACGCCTTCGCCAGACCCCGTTCGATGTGTCCCTCATGGCGGAGATCAAGCGAGCCTCGCCCTCAAAGGGCATTTTCGACATCAACATCAACGCTCCGACTCAGGCCAAGAAATACGCGCTTGCAGGTGCCAGCGTCATATCCGTGCTGACAGAGCCCGAGTGGTTCAAGGGCAGCATCGAGGATCTGAGGGCTGTTAGACAAGTTCTGGACGGTATGCCCAACCGACCAGCGATCCTCCGCAAAGAGTTCATCTTTGAGGAATACCAAATTCTTGAGGCCAGACTTGCGGGCGCCGACACGGTCTTGCTTATTGTCAAGATGCTGGAGACGGAACTTCTGGAGAGGCTGTACAAGTATTCTCTTTCCCTGGGAATGGAGCCGTTGGTTGAAGTTCAGACAGCCGAGGAGATGACGACAGCCTTGAAACTTGGATCCAAGGCTATTGGCGTCAACAACCGCAACCTGGAGAGCTTCGAGGTCGACATGAACACAACAAGTAGATTGAGAAGCATGGTCCCGGAAAATACCATCATCTGCGCCTTAAGCGGTATCAATAGCCACCAGGATGTCATTCTTTGCAAGAACGATGGAGTCAATGCTGTTCTCGTGGGGGAGGCTATTGTCAGAGCGCCGGACACAACCAAGTTCATCAGAGAACTCTGTTCTGGTACAGACGCTGAGCCTGAACCAGTCAAGACCCAGCCTCTTTTTGTCAAGATTTGCGGCACACGAACTCCCGAGGCTGCTCTTGAAGCTATTAAGGCAGGTGCGGACTTTGTCGGAATCTGCTTGGTTCCAGGTGCGAAGCGTTGCATATCCGACGAGACTGCTTCAGCCATCTCAGAAGCGGTACACACCTTTGTGCCTACCACCACACGCACACCAACAAGCATCCCTACAAAATCTGCTACAGATTACTATACCGCGTCTGTCGCCAGGCTATCGAGCTCGCGTCCGCTCCTCGCCGGTATCTTCCAGAATCAGCCCCTAGACGAGGTTCTCGAGAAGCAGAAGCGTTTCAACCTGGACATTGTCCAGCTTCACGGCAACGAGCCCGTTGAGTGGGCCAACTTGATCCCCGTACCTGTCATTCGGGCTTTCAAGCCGAGCAACGTTGGCATCGGAAAGCGAGGCTACCATACCATTCCTCTGCTCGATTCGGGAGCTGGCTCAGGCAAGCTCCTTGACGTCTCCAGTGTCAAGGAAATCTTGGCAAAGGACCAGGAGTTGCAAGTCATTCTTGCTGGCGGTCTCAACCCCGACAACGTGCTCGAGGCAGTCAATGCTGTTGGGGAGTTTGGTGACCGTATCGTAGGTGTTGATGTGAGCAGCGGAGTGGAGGAGGATGGCAAGCAGAGCTTGGAAAAAATTAGGACGTTTGTCAAGAATGCGAAGAGCCTTAGATAGAGAGTTCGTTGAATGAATAAGTGCTTGAGGCTCTGCCAAATGATTTACATCGAAGACTGTCCGTGATATTTGAATATCTGCGCTTCGGCTCTACTACGAAGCCCAGGCCTCGAAGTTATCGAATAGTCCCTACTTCAACATCCTTGCATGAGCCAGGACTGCTCCGAGATATGCGAGTAAGTGAACAATGTAAGCTTCTGATTGTTAAATTGGGCTATCTGCTTCTATTGAATAAACAATCCTGCCTTAAGGTAGATAGAAGGGCAAATATTGGCGATACTCGAAATGCCATAGGTTCTTATAAAGATCGATCTGTGTCGCGTTTGCAGATCTGTATTTCAGATGGCATATCAAATTGATTTCTTGAAATATTTCGGAAGGCATGGTGAGACTTCATATCTATCGCGCCTTCCTCTCAGTCTTTCGAGTGCTTCTCCAGTTGTACCCTCTCTCTTTCCTTCCTTCCCTACTGTCCTGGCTCGTTTTTTCTACTTTCTCGAATTTCTACGTATAAAACAGCCACCCTTTTCCCACTCAGTCTCTCTTCCACTTCTTCACCCTTTCTACGCCCTTTCTACCTCACTCACAGTTTCAGATCGGCCTCTTCATACCCACCCTCTATCCCAAAACTTCACCCATTCTACCTCAATCACAGTCTCAGACTGACCTCATCTCACTTTCATCATCAGCATTCGAGACCCTTCTTGCTCTTCCCAACCGAGAACGCCCTTTTTCCCTTTTTTCGCGCAGTCTCACTCCAGCTCTTCACGCTTCTTACCTCACTTGAAATCTCAAGTCGCTCTTGCCTCATCTTCATCAGGAGCATCGCAGACCTTGCTTGTCTTGTTCCGTTGTCACCAAGTGGGACCTATTCTTTTCCAACTTCACTTACAATCATCGACCAACGTTCATCCTTCACAATGGTTGCAGCAATCTTCAACAAACTGGTCATCACCGCTGCTGGAGACTTCCCTAGTGGTTGCTCTAGAGAGCAGGTGGTCCAGTGGGCGAAAATGCGCAAAGGCAAATTCTCAAGTCGCTTGGACGAGACGACGACCCATCTGCTGTTCACCGATGCGGAGTTCAAGTCCAAGAAGAAGCACCACCGAAGTAAGGTCACCTTTCCCTCCCATGCAACCTATCGAATATTTAACTTCCCCTTCATCCCCTTCACGGTTCACGCCTCTCCTTTGGTGTCTTGTTCAGAAGCTAATTACTTTTCATTATTTCTCAGTCAAAGAAGCAGAGAGAAGAAGCAATACGAAGGGTGCGAGAAAGATTCATATTGTGAGCTGGAGTTGGTTTGCCAAATCTTGCTGCGACAACAAGAAACTCGCATTGAAGGAATACAGATACGACGCTATGAAGATCAAAGAGAAGAGGGATGCCCAAGCAGAGACCGAAAGGGCCCGGGCTGCAGCGTCTGCTTACAGGTGGATTAGTACTGGTCAGTGAATATTCACCAGTCCTACTGCTTGAACACCGTTGACGTATCAATCCAGAATCGTACAGTGTCGCCAAAGACCTGACCTCCTTCGAGTACAAGGTTGATCTCTTCCGATCCTCTGAGAATGAGGATGGAACTCTGCACGAGAAGTACGAACTCTACGTAAGTCGCAAGCAAATATCCATTTTGAATGGCTATCACAAACTTGGAATCGAGTCCTAGCTGACATGTGGTGCTAAAAACTCAAGTTCTTCCGGTCTCACTCCTCTAGGCCGCACATGTACTGGTTTGGCGCAAAGCTGTTCCACAAGAAGGACAACGGCAAGTGGGTTGAGCGCGGTATTGAGCGTCCGAGTCCCTGTTGCTCAACCTTCCGGAACGAGTACGACAGATTCAGAAAGTTCTTCGAGCTGAAGACCAAGATTCGCTGGGCAGACAGAGTTGCCAGAGCTGGAACTCAGGAGAAGACTGCGTTCAGTTACTCCCCTCCGGTAAGATTGTCCTGCCAATTAAACCGAGACTCGAAATCTTTTTACAATCAACACTTGCTAATCATGAACCTTAGACTGGTGGAAAACCCGTCGGGTGCAGAATGGTTGGTGCACTTTACAACAAGGCTGTCAGAAGCAACAAGAAGATGCTTCGGCGCTATGCTGAGCTCTTTGGAGATGAGTTGCCGTCCGACATCCAGATCGAAGACGCATGCAATGACATCTTGAAGGACATCGTCGACGAGGTCTGCGCAACCCCGAAGATGGATGCCGAAGAGGAGAATGGAGTCAACGAGGTGACCATGGCCAACATGAATCTTGGCCCTGGTAAGAACGACGCAGTCGACTCTGATATGGAAGGGCACGCTGAGATCGACGCTCTCTCTGATCCTGGCGTCATGGCTCAGTCTTCTTCTGAGATTGAAGACATCGTCATGGAGGGTCACGTTGAGGGCCTTTAGACAGGTCATTGACAACGCTTGACGGTAACCCGCTTACTCAGGGCATTGAAATCATTGAGACTTGGCCTGGTCGAGACGATATTACAGGCGGATAATTACATGGGGCAATTGGCAGTCTGCTACTAAGATTGCGGAGGCCCTTGATGCAAGTCTGCGAGAAGCAGCAGTAAAGTGAGTTGAGCTTGGGCGACTACTACACTGGCCCAGCTACTAACCGATCTTTAGTTGCATCTGATGAGAGACATCTCTCTTCTGTGTGGAATTTGGAGGTGACTTTTTTGGGCGATATTTTTCGCAATGGTTTTGAGCTTGGACGATAGACGGGAATGGCTTTGCATTTTGATTCCCTTTTTCCCCATGGGCTTCTACGTGGGCAGCAGCAAGAAGGGGCCTACAGCACCTTATTCAAGGTTGGGTAACACCTTGGGAAGATGAGAGCCAACTTGATTAGATCCGAGCAATGATAAATGGTTTCCGCAGCTAAAATCACATTCTTGGCGAAGTACACGTGAAAACCGAAAGAAATTCCGGATGATTTTACCCTTTCAGTACACGATCCACTCAATTCTTGCTAAGGAGCGATAGATCTTGAGTACGTGAATATTCATGTATTCAACATGAGCATCTTTCGAGATGTCATGGCTGGCATCCCTCGAGATCCCATCTTGTCTGTAAGAATGTCTCAGCGGCTCTGATCAAATTGATGATTGGTTGTCTTTGCTGTGGCCAAAAGTCGTGTGGCTGAAGGGGCATGAATGACCACTCAAGTGCCCGCGAAGGGCTGGTCAAGCAGCTTGCAGATAGCAGGTCAGACTTATATTAGATGCTACGTTTTAGACGTAGTAAGATGGGAATCCGCCCTATGACCCCTGACAATTGACGTCGTGGGATCGACACTGCCTCATACTCATTGGACGAAGACTTCGCGAGCTGGTCAATCAGGAAGAGGCTTAGTATGAGACAGAAACACCAATCAATCATTGATGACCACTTCTCACTCATCCTAGGCCCGCGCGTGTCAAATCCCTTGAGATACTTAGAAGAAATGTGGTCTCCCCAGCACTTCACCGGTCCTTCGCTTCCTCTTCGTCGTCATTCGTCAAGAATCAGATGCGAAGTTTTACATCAGACATTGATTCCTGGCTCAATTCATGACTTGAAAGTCTCGGCGGCTCGACCATGTTGTTTCCTTATTCATTAATCACGGTGGCGGGTTTCTTGCCACTGACACTCGCCATGGGCCTCGAAGCGCGAACTCCTCAAGAAACACTCGCAATGGGGTTCCTAGAGCACGGCGCTGGGCTTTCTCCGGCACCAACGACAGCTCCCAGCGAGGAGTCGAAGCAGATGATGCTCGAAGCCAGAAGTCTACCTCCCCAAGCCTGTGGAGTTCGTCGCCTTGATAATGGAAGTAAGTTTTGACCCATGGCTCCTGCGCTTCACGGAGTTTGCTGACGATGTCTTCCTTGCTGTCAGCTTTCGAGACCTTCTCATGCGTCAGCAACGATTGCTATAGCTCGGGGCCATGGTTTGGATGTCGCAACATCCTCAAGACAGAATGTTTCGATGGGACCGCGCCTGTTTGCCAGCAGACAACGTCTTCTCTAGGTCAAAAGGCGCTTTGTTGGTATGTATTTATAGTGAACTCTTCCACCAGACACGTCCCAAAGCTTACCACACCAAACCACACGTCTCAATCGCGCCCCAGGAGTTCTTTTTCAAATGCTAACTACCTTTCAGTACTCGATCAGGTCCGAGTCAGTTACCGTATTGTATGACACTCCTGAGGCCCGACGACTCAGGACAAAAGACGTGGCTCCGATGCGGCGATCCTGCCTACAGTGGACAGAAGATCATGGTAATAGGTACCGAATCCGACGATCCAGACGCGACCAGGACCGTAGACCCTTCGGACACTGCAACAGCTACATCATCTCCGTCCGGCTCATCCTCGAACTCAACAGGTGCCATTGTCGGAGGCGTGGTCGGCGGGGTCGCCGTGGTAGCCATAGCCGTCTGCGTTATCGTCTGGCTGATATTGCGGCGGAGAAAACGCTCGAGGGAGGACGGGTCGCAGGTGCCTTTGACGCCGGGCTCCCAGTCGCAGCATACTCAGCCATACTACTCTCAAGCTGGGTATGGGGAGCACGATGACCCTTACAAGGCGCAACGCGGGCCGACGCCCTCGCCTACCCCCCTAGTTGAAGTACAAGGAAGCCACGTAGTTGACAATCGAAGACCGGCAGAGCTAGAAACTTGAGCCGTCAATAGATGAACTGCGTGTTCATATGTCTGCGCTTTGGGGATCATGGGATTATTCTTATACACAGAGCGAAGGCGTTAGGAGTTGATCAGTGGGTTGGTTTCTTTCATCCATACCTTATGCTTATCAGCCAAATACGATGAGAGATTCGGTACCCAATTGAAAAACAAAGCCGAGGAAGATTCGAAGCATGCCGGCATTCACTTAGATTGACTTGTGTATATCCGTTATGGTTTTGTATGACGAAATCTGCTAAGAATGAATATGAATGGGTTTTGGAACATCGTTCTAGTTCATATGAGCCCTCACCATTGGGCGATTCTTTCCCCGATTTAAGATCAACCCAGTAGATGCACTTGACTCAAGCATATGCAAGAGTGGCTAGTATCCTCCTTTCCCGGCTTCGCACGCTGGCTCTGGCAATTGCTCGGATTTGGGACTACTTCGCCAACGCATACGCTTTAGACATAGGCCGCTGGTGTTGACGTGCGAACCATGTATCACACAATTCTAGAGGACCTGCCTCACTTTGAAGGTTGCACAACACGGCAACTTGCTTCCATATATTTGCACAGTCCTCAAAATAGACGATCCAAGACGAAGAGAGGGGTCCAAGCTGGTTTCTCTGTTTCCTGATGACTTTGACTTTTCAAGACCACTACATTCCGGTCAACGGAGGTTATCACATCCTTCAACACTTGTCTGATAGCCTTGCCTGACCGCCTTATATCTACTCCACAGTAGTGATGAGCGCTCTCTTTCTCGTAGCCATCGCCGCGGCGATCTGGCTACGACTGGCTTTCGCGGAGCCCCAATTCTTGAATCGAAATCCCATACCGCGTCCGACACTGGCACCGAACTACGGCAAGTACGAAGCGGCCCCAACAACAACTGTGGGACCCGGAAACAATCTCGATCTACGGGTAGAAAAGCTGGCGCCTCGCGCACTGCGCATTAATACATGCGGGATCGTAACACTTCCCTGGAGTAAGTCTTCAAAAAGCCCCCTTGGCTCTTGAGCCAGGTCAGCCATCATAGGATTTCGAATACTGACGTTGATCAAATAGCAACGTTCCCTCTAGCGTGCGAGTATCCGCAACCGTGCCAAACTGACAATGGCTTTATGAAGTGCGATAACATCGTTGGACGCACATGCTACGATGGCTCAGCTACCGAGTGTAGAACCTTTGTTGATCTCAATACCCGCTGCTGGTACGTTGACATCTCGTCTTATTCCCAAGAACTACGGCTAATAGCTACGTTCTCAGCACGAGGTCGGATGATAAATGGCTCCCGACCTGCGTGACGTATTACAAAGAGATTGACACGGACAGTTGGGTATCGCTCCTCGATTGTCAATGGAAAGTGCACAGCGGTCGAACGAGCTTAGACTTCGTCCCGTGGTCGATCGAGAACGATTTTCTTGACGGCACCCAGACAGCGCTGGCTTCCCCTGATTCCAAAATCACTCTGACCTCGTCCACATCGACCTCTGCCTCCCCGTCAATTTCAACATTGCCAGCGAGTTCTGCGTCCAACATATCTACAATCGTAGGCGGTGCCGTTGGAGGCTTAGTAGCGGTGGTGATTGGAGTCTGCGTTGTCGTTTGGCTTCTCATACGGGAGAAGCGAGCGTTGAAGGCCTGCGACGCCATATCTGCGTCGCAGGATCCGACACAGAGGGCTCAAATGTCAGACCTGCCGGAGGTATCTGTCCCTGCGAACTACCGGCCTCTCCATTCCGGGGCTGAGGAGCGACGTAAATATCAATTGGTGTCCGCAGCCTCGCCTTCCATCCTCAGTGAGGCGAATCCGGTGTCTTCTCCGGCGCCGAGACACACTATCAATGTTAATAACGCCCCTGTTGAGCTCGAGTAAATAGACGTGGAGACACCCATAAGCTCTGTCCATGTTGTTCCGGACTTGTGGTAGTTTTACACACCTGGGTTGATGATCTGAGTAAGCACGCAGAGAATGTCGAGGGCCGATTTTCGTTCAATAATGTACTTTTAGCTCTTTCTTGCAAGTAATCATCTACACGCGCATCGCTTGAGATGCTTCATTATGAGTCCACGCCAACCCTCAACTTCGTACGCCACCAACGGTCGTAGCAGTCCCCTTAACCGCCATCCCTCCATCATCACCCTCAATCCAAACATCCCACTTCCTCTGCCCTGCACTCGCCTCCTTCTCCCGCAAGCAAAGCGTCATTTCCCGACCGCAGTACAGCGGCGCCAAGTTCCGGTACCCGTACCAGCGCACGCTCTGTCCCTCGCCCTGCCTGTTCAGGAACGCAAGCATCAGAGCCAGAGACAGAGGCCCGTGTACCAGCGTCGCGGGATGACCCTCTTGCGCGGCCCACGCCGGGTCCAGATGGATCGCGTGCGCGTTGTACGTCAGCGCGCTGAAATTGGTGAGGAGGTTCTGCGTCGGCGTCAGAGTGAGGGACGCTGTCGGCTTATGCGGCGCTAACCCAGTCTCAAATGTCAGTACTTTTTTCGGTCTCCAAACTTTCCTCCCACGGCTTGGAAAAATGAATTTGCTGCTGGCCGCCTCTTACCTTTCAGACTCCGCCGCGCCGGAGCAGGAACATCAACATCAGGAAGGAAAGCCAACGTCCTTCTCTCCTCAACCGCCGGTCCGCTCTCACCACGACCACCAGCAGCAGACGCCCCATACCGCCGCCACAACTCGACCCAAACCCGGCCCTTCTCGGCCCTCACATCCTCCACGCTCTCGACACAGCCGACCCGGCGCCCATCGAGACGGAGCTCATCCTCACAGCCCTCTCGGAAGCGGACCTCGCCGCCCGCCCAGAGTCGGCGCGTGAACGGCGCGCCGGGGCAGTGGTCTGGGTCAGTGCCGTCCGGCATCAGCCATGAGGGCGGCGATTGGAGAGGGAAATAGGCCAGGTGGTGGCCTTGCGGTAACGGATGCGCAGGCCCGGAGGATGATGGGTACTTTGGTGGATATTCGGCGGACGAGGTGAAGATGTCTGCGAACAGGAGGTTGAGGAGATGGGAGGGCGTCGGGGAGAGGTGGTCTGGGATCTCCTTGCTGGTGTACAGGATCTTGGCGATTCCTGCCTCTACCGACGAGGATGCATTCTGAGTTGCGAATCCCCGACGAAAGGTGTTGGAAAAGAGAGGCCTCATGTTGAAGTTGGCATTGGCGACTTACACGCCTCAGTGGGTGAGATGTTACGAGACTGAGTGAGAGGTCATGAATATGCATGTAACCAGTTGATAGGTTATAGTCGCATATCGGATAAAAATACCTGTATGAAAGTGCTGCCTCAAGCTGACTACCTATGTCTAAAGGAAGAGTGTGACCGTGGGTGTACACCAGGGAAGTCATTGTTCAATGAGAACCAGGGCTGCTCTCAAGGATTATCTATCTAGGTGCACGAGCTGAGGTGGCAAGTCACACAAATACTGCATCCTTTGTGGTACAGACATATTTGTTCACGCTCAATGAACAGGCTCGAGCGAGCCTGAAAGGATTTAGTAGGCATTTAATTTCATTTTCATTCTATCTAGTCGCGATCAACAAGCGGTCGCCTCCCGACCGCTCTTGAGTGTCCTCTGTCTGTGAGAGGATCATCTAGCGCACATGTTAGTTGCACAGCTTCGGCAATGGCTGACAAGATGGTCTCACATGTAGACTAGGTCTCAACTCAAGAGGCCTTCATAACAGACCGAAGCGGGCTCGGGCGCGCCACTTGGTGGGTGAGATGAGCCGGGCTCATCGGGCTCCTGTCTGCAAGGAGCTGATGGGCGACGTTTGGCTTGGGCGCGGGCGCGGGCTGCGACGCTGTGCGCGCGGATTCCTCTTCGCTGTTATGCTTCAGAGACGGTACTTGAGTCGATCCCTCGTTCTCGAGGGCCTCGGTTGGTCAATCTGGAATGGTCAGTTTCTTGTAGTCGGCCAAGAGGGTTCTGAGAGGTCACAAACCGTCGTAGTAGTCATCGTCGTCATCAACCTCAGCCAACTGCTCAAAGTTCACCTTGTAGCGGAGAATACCACCGATACCGCCGAAGCCCTTGACGAACTGGTTGCCCTCGGTGGAACGGTCAGAGACGAACTCGAGGTTGGTACCGAAGTCCTTGTAGTGCTCCGCAATCCACTCAAGGAAGGATTCTTGGGTGACAACTTCCATCTCCTGGCCAGTCTCCTTGTCCATGAAAATGGCACGGTCACCGGTTTCCTGCTGCTTGGTGGTGTGCAACAGATGCTCGGTACCCTGGCTGTCCTTGAGTTTCCAGCGGGTGATTTCCAGGTTCTCGAAAACGATCAAAACCTCCACAGCACCCAGCTCCAGAGCCTTGAGGGTATCCTCAATACCGTAGCAGACACGTCCGGTGTCCTGGCTGATCTCCTCGAAGTACTTTCCAATGAGCTTCTTCTCCTGGATGAACTTGACGTTGCCGAGGGTCTCGGAAGAAAGCTCGATAGCCTGGTTGAAACCGTTCTCACCACCATAGGAAACGTCAACAACCTTGATGACCTTGGTGGCCAGACGGTTATCGAACAGGTCGGAGGCGTTGAGATCAGTCTTGAAATCAGCCGAACCAGCCAGAATCAGACCAGCGACGTTGGGCTTGTCGTTGGTGATGAAGTTCTGGACGGCCAACTCGGCAACCTTGCGGACGTAGTTGTGACGCTTCTCCTCACGAAGACGGGCGAAACGAAGAGCGGATTGACCACCACGGCCGTGCTTCTTGGGAAGATCGACAGAGAACTTGTGAACAACTTCTCTGGTGTTTCCGGAAAGGGTTCCGAAAAGGGCTCCGTTACCGTCCATGATGATGAAACCAAACTTCTGATCCGACTCGAGAAGCTCGGCCAAAGCCTCGGTGTGGAACTTGTTGTCACAGAGGTAGAGGGAGGTGTTGATGGGCTTGAAAGGCTCGAAGTCGATATTGACCTTTCTCTCCTTGCCTTCCTGGGTCAAGATTTCACCACAGTAGACAACCAAGCCGTTGGGAGGGACCTTGTTGTACAGCTTAAGACGCTGCTGGGTCGAGGTAATGGCCGAAAGCACGGACTGTCTGTTGACTCTGGACTTAATGTTTGACGCAGTTCCCTGTTCAAAGTCTCGTTAATACCGGCCCGGCTCGAAAGGTGTGTAATTGTCGCAGTCGTAACGTACGTATTCTTCAGCCAACATCTTGGCGGCTCGGGAAATCTGGTCCTTGGGAGCTGTAGTGGGGTGTTAGTTGAACCGGGCATCGGCGGCGGCATGGCGGTCGGGAAATAAAAACGTACGAATGATGAGCGAGATCATGGAAGTGCCGTTACCACGAGCGGCCTCGAGGCGCTTGATCAGCTTCTTGACCTTCCATATTTCGATCTTTGTTGCACCCCATAAAGGGAATCGTCAGCCTGCATGCTCGAAGCGCGGGGCAAAAAAAAGGAGGGGCTCCGAGGCCACGATGTAGGAATACGGGAAAAAAACTCACGTTCTTCTCGGCCTCGTTCGCCTGGGGGTCGGACATCTTGAATGAGGGTAATTAAGGGACTCGAGGAACGACAAAATGAAGGAACGCGTTCGCGTGACGGTGAGGGATTTGTCGTCGACGTCGCGCGGTTCTCCGGGCGGGAACGATGCGTTGCGATGCGGTCGGGTGGTTGCAAGGAAAGAAAAGTTGGTGCTCCACGTAGGTAGGTCGATTTTTTGTGCTGTCACCGTGGAGCGCACATCAGGATCCGGCTCTGGCTGGGTGTACGCCCAAAACCGGGTAGGGCGCTAAACCGCAAGCGAGTCATAGGGTGCCTACTGCCTGGCCACTCTAAATTATAGCCACTCATCTCCCAGCTTTCACACGTACCACCGTGTTTTGCTGGAGCCGCCCGCCCCATGGTTCATCTTCAAAGCTGTATGTCTTTGGACTTTGGGCACTTCTAACACTCGTTACACACTCTCACCAAGGCAGTGACAACTAAGTGAGTCACTGAAGTAGAAAGATACCCTTAGGCATTTACTCGATATTGTTCGGCGATGTCTTGCAGAATAGGCAGGCTGCAGCCCGTTTAGATAGGCAAAATGTAAGGCAGGTTGTGAGACAAAGCCAATGTGCTATATTAGTTGCCCATTCAACCCCACTCGATCTCGTGCCGCTAAAAGTTGGGCCACTGAATTCAGTGTGCCGTCCGGATACCGATTTCTTTGGGCGGAACGGCTGATGACCTCAGCGGTGGATCCGCATGCAAGTAAGGGTGCATAGCATCACCCCGTGTGCTGGATTAATGAATGACCAATGACCATGCAACTAACGAGCTAACTTTATCGCAACCTCCCAACGCGCCCCTACCCGTCCCCGCGAGAGCTTCCCGAAGTCGCAGCTCAAGCCACCACCTGCTATAGCTCCTTTCCGTCATACACACACAGAGCCAGACTCACAACATGGCTTCCTCCGTACCCATTCAAATCGCAGAGACGATACAGACTGCCCACATCAACCGAGCACCCTCCCCGAGCCACGATCTCAATCCCTCCACAGCGGCCTCCGAGAAGGAGCCAGTGACATTAGAACCCGTTCAGACCCACGACGATCTCGACGATGATGAGCTCGACGACTACATCCCCCGCAGTGTGGTGAACCCGAAGCCGCGCACGGCAAAACTTCCGCCCATGCCCGACCTGCGCTTCGAGCAGAGCTACCTCAACAGCATCTCCAAGGCCGATACATGGGGGCGGGTGGCGTGGATCACTACTAGGGATCAGGTAGGTTGCTCGGGTGCATCTGGCCGCGGTGGGAATCTGTACTGATCGGGTATAGGTGATGATGCCCCTGATACAAGGCGTCGTTTACAACTTGTTCCTCATCGGCTGGCACCACTGGAACAAGAATGCTCAGGTCCATGGCAGCTCGATAGGTGCGAGGGTCCGGAGGTGGTGGTATGGTGTAAATAACTGGCAGCTGCCCCCGCAGAAGAGCTCAAACTGGAGGACGGCATTTACAAAGAAGGAGCTGTGAGGG